TGGCACCCTGGATCACAGAATAATCTCATGGAGATTAAAATTCACAAAAATATTATTAAAATTATTACTATTATTATTATTATTATTATTAAAGACAAAATTTCACCCTTGAGTTTATCACATGCTACTCAGCAAAGATCCTAGAGATCTGGCCACCGCTGGAGTGTGTTGAAACTTGGTGTTGCTTACAGGACCGGTTCACAAAGCTTCAGGGTCTAATTTGATTTTATCCCCCCTCCCACCCACTCTCAAATTTTTTCTGTCATATTTTCAAAACCACAACTTTCAACAATTTTTTTTCAATTCCTCTCCTCCCAGTGTGGCTGCTGTGTCAGTCTCTTGTGCTGTTGATCTCCCCAAAGTCACCAGGAAGAGCAGGGAGGAGCAATCCCTTGGGTTGAGTGCTCCTATCTCCCAGCATCTGAACGAAGGACTAAATATTCAAGGTGATTTTTTCTTTTTTTCATACCACGTGTTAGATTTTTTCTAACACAGCAAAGTGGAAAAGGGAGCAAAAGGACAGTGGGAAGTTACAAAAATATATAACGTACCTAAAACTGGGTAAGGTTAGACAAGTCGGTGGTGACTTCTAGAAGAACGTGGGCACCGTACACTAATTTATCTCCCATTAAGATGACATCGCTGCTGCAAAGCCAAAATCCTGAATACGTGGCTTTTCCCCCATCTGCCCCTTTCTAACCCTACAATTTCCAGGCCCAAATGGAATCAACAAGGCAAAAGCCTAAAAATTGTAGGGTTAAGGACCGTTCCCCACCGCGGGATTTGTTCCTGTTCTGCCATTTCATGCTACATTTTGTAAAAGGGGGTGTATGAACTGGGGGTTGACGTAAGAGAACCCTTCAAAATCTGTTTGGTCTATGTTAGAAATGACCAGCTGATCCGGAGGTGTTAACACTGGCTGTCCTCGTGTAAAGAATTTATCGAAGTTTTCAGCACCTTTGCCACACTGCAAGAAAAAAAGAAAAAACAGAAAAAAGACTGAAAAAAAATCAGCAATACATTGGCAGTTCCAGCTTTTTGTAGATTTTTCAGGCTAAATGTGAGACTTTCCCTCTTAAGAGGGGGAAATTTAAGAGATTTTTTTTTTTTTTTTTCAGATATTTTAACAAAAAACCCCATGCAAATGGAGAAGTTTTAATAGATGTATTTTGATGAAAAAGGAGAGTTAGGAAAGTTTCCATCCATCAGCATAAGGTGACAAGGTAAAGAGGCTTGAATATTCAGAATCACTGGGATAAAAAAGGAAAAAGAAAATATTTTTATGGACGTGCAATGACAAGAGATACTTTACCCATCAGGTCATTTCATTTTTCTTAAAACCTTTATGATGCAAAATTAAATTTTCATGTTAGCCTCTGTTTCCTTCACGATCTGCAGAAAGCTTAATGGAATTCATTGATAGGCTTTCATCCTTCATTGTACAGCCTGTAAACTCTTGGAAATTCATAGATGACAGCAGAGCTCCAGTCCTGGGGACTGCAGGAAGGAGCTGGGGCAGGCAGCATGTCCCAGGGACAGGTCCCCATTACAAAACGTGCTATCACAAGGTTTCCTCCTGTTTTTGTCTAAGAGACACGTCGTTTCACGAAGCCCAGATGAGAAGGGGGTTATATGGAGCTACACACTGAACACAACTCATTCAGAACAGAAAACCAAAGAAATCAGGGTTGCGGAAAGGATCGTTTTGAGTAACGCAGGAAACACTTGAAAGGCAGGGAAGTATGATTAGAGAGGCAAGTTAAAGAGGACGAAGGTGGGAGCAGAACAAAATTAGCTTGGGTGCAAGCAAAAAATGCCTATTTGAGGAAAAGTCGGCGTTGGATATTGTGGAGAGGTCTAAAGGAAACTGGTAAATCTGCTTATCTCAAAACTATCTCCTGTAACAGGTCTTGGAACAAAGCGTGGTTGTATGATAAAGGCGCTGAATGTTTCTTCCTGTTGTCCCTGACCCTTTCTTCTCTGTCCATCCCCACCAGATGGCTGCCCTGTCAAATACTTTTGTTGGTGAATATGTCTACATGTGGATTTAGAAGATAACACCACGCTATTATCTTCAGGCTGAGAGGATAACTTGGAAACGGTAGAATATGGCTCGTACATTAGACAATATTAAACATTGATTTTCTGAACTAATGCTACGTAAATAAAGCTGCACTTTATAGGAGAAACCAACTGAAGAGGGCCCCAGTCAGGGAATTCAAGGGTGAGATGTTTGGCTATCTTAAAACCAGCTCAGTCACAGTTTCCAATCTTCTTGCAAAGCACCTGGCACATCCTGGACTGGGACACGCCATCCGATCTGAGCTGCAAAGAACTTCTGCTGCCTCGGGCACAAGCTGGTTTATATTTCAGATGGGAAATGCATGCTCAGGTACTAGACTGCAGTGCTCACAGAAGGACACTGGTTCACTCTTGGAAGAACACAAGCAGAAGGACATTTCAACGGGTTAAAGGCTAATGGTAGTCTGCTTCTTTTCACCCGGGGTTCTGCACTCACCGAATACCCTGGTGCCCACTGAAGCCAATGCATTTTGGTACAGAATCTCTGGAGAACAAGAATGGACAAAGTGGAACTTTGACAAGGGGAAAACTCTCCTTCATTGGAATAAAAGTTGATGTAACCTCAAATTAACAGTCAAATTTATTTAGAGGAAGTATAGTCAACTCAGAGCAGCAACAAAAGGGCTATTTATACAGGGAAGACATTTTGCATCATCCTTCCACAAAATTATGCTCTGTCTTTTGTCTTTTATTTTTCTTTTCTCTTCCCCCTTTTTTTTTTTTCCAGCAAGTGGGAGGTATTCAAACAAGCTGTGTATAGAAACCAAAGTCCCTGACTCCATGAGGTCTCTATTACTTATACTAGTAAAGGCTGAGAAATAACTCATGTGAAATTTGTGAATTTTTAGGTGCAAATATAATAATTTATCAAGAAATTTGTATCTTCAATTATGTAGCTGTCTTCACATCGAAGAATAGCGTTGTTCTTGTGAGTGTTAATGCAGTTTTAAAGCAGAACTGAAAACACAGGACTCCTAGAACTCCTTAACTTGCAAATACGAGTTAAATGTCCTTCATGTCAAACAATCAGTCTATGCCTATAGCCTGTGAAATGTCAGTCTGGAAGGGAACATGTTATTTAAACCGACCAACTGCTGACCCAAAATCTGCAGCTCCATGTTGGAGTGAGAACCACGGCTGTGTGCAAAAGCAGCAGGATTATTCCTGTAGCAAAGTGCTTCCTAGAGAAGATGTATCTACAAAAGATTTCTGAAAAAAACTACTGCAAACAAAGCCTAAAAATACATCCTCATCTTCAAACAGACTAAGGGTCATGTGTTTTTTTCTTTCTAGAATCCATATAAATTGAATGAGCAATGACAATAAATGAGTTATACATAGGGTATGTAAATCTGAGACTTGTATTTTAAATTATTTTTGTCTGGGAAAGGCAGGCTCCATGTGAATACACCTTGGTGTATTTTAATAGCAGCCTGTATAAACAAAACAGGTCATGATAACCACGGAGACAGAGCACAGCTGCTCTAAACAGGAGCCAGGATCTGCCACGAAACGTGCTATGATGGAACCAGACCCTACTTCAAACTTTTAGTACCTTCACGCTGACGCTACTTTTAACTTCAAGGAGAGTCTAAGTACTCAGTTCCTCAGCTAATAAAACTTAACAGATGTGAAGGCAGATTTGCTTTACAAAGAGCTTTAAATTTTACTCAAGCAGCATGTAATGGAAATCTTCCATAAAATATGTTTCAAAGAGGTGTAGCTCCCCTTCGGACAGACAGCCCTGAGGACCAGGGCAGGGTTGGCAGCATCTTACACGCTCTTTACTTAGTTACACTCTTCCCTGTGTGCAAAATCCACATCATATGAAAAGGGTATTTTTCCCAGCACAAAACACTCTTCTCGCCACGCAACTCCCCTCCTGGTGATGTGAAAATGTCATTTGTATACAAAAAGAGAGGAATATATTTTGTCATTGGGCAGTGGTCTCCCTCATTTGTTTGTGATACCACACTAAAGTATCTGTATTGGGAAATAAATCAGTGTAGAGACCAATGGTCCTACACCTGCAGTGCTACAGCCAGCTACACATCTCAGTTGAAACAAAAAAAGTGTTAGAGAAGAAAGATTCAATGTTAGGACATAACAATTTACAGCTGTTCCTGAAAGGTTGTATTCTTGTGTGAAAATACTTTTCTTTGCCTGTTAATAAAGCACGATACCTGCTGAAGGAAATTCTGTATCAACAAATACAGTTCTTGAAATTATATTATGGAACCACTTCTCATGGTAAGGACATCTTTCCCTTCTTTGGATTTCTAAAATTTTCCTACAGACACATGTGTGCAAACCAGTAACAAACATTAAAAATAAATCAAGGATTATTCTTGCAAGTTCTGCAGATGTCACTCCAAGGATGGGGAATACAACCCCCCCATGCTGTGTAGCCCACCATGGAGGAAATTCACCCCAGTAACTCAGATACCTTTAGATGTTGTTCAGAGGAGACAGTTGGGAACTGTATTTATTACAGGTCTCAAGTGGCTGATGTTAAGTTACCAGTTTTCCCCGGTCTCAACTTCTACAGTGTGAGACTGTCCAGTGAGGACTCAAACCACTGAGAGACTTTTTTGCAAGGAACAAAGTACACTGGGTTATGCCACAAGGTGCCAAAATACGAGCAGATTTACAGACTGGTCTGTCATCATCAAATTCCCTTAATTTAGAAGTGTCCCAGATTTGCAGCACCATCAAGCCAGCATTAATCTCACTCCACGGGAACGCATGACTGCAGACACATTTAGCGAGGGAAGTACTTGGCATCTCACTCACCACTTTAGGTTTGAAAGGTGGCTGAATCTCTCTGTTTTCCAGTTTTTCCCAGTCAATTCTCCTGAAGAAAGAATGTTCCCTGATGTCTCTTTCACCTTCAAGGCCACAGCCAAGGCGTTTTGCGGGATGTTTAGTCATTAACTATTAGGAAAAAAAACCACCAAGTGATGAAATTTAACACTGGAATGAAAGCGAGACAGAATTTCCCCAGACTGCGATGCTCCTGAAGATGCAAGTTGCTAATAAAATTGTTTTGAAAAGCTAAAATTCATTTTTTGAAGATTAGCTTTCTTGTTTGATCACTGGAAATGGCACGTCAGTAGCAAAATTAAAGGTTGCACTTGAGAAGGTTTTCCCATTTGGCAGAGGTTGCTGCCAGAGGTGTGGGTGGGCAGGCAGTGCCTGGGGCACACCGCCATCCTATTAGTTCACCACTCACTCCTGAATTTCACCTTTGGTCTTTCAGTTCAGTCTTATAAATCTCCAGAACAGCTTCTGCCCTATCTCAACAATCAATTAAACTTAAAATTCCAATATACTAAAGTTGGATGAAGTACAATCCCCCCCCGTTTCATTTTTCTGGGCTTGTTCAAGACATCTCATTACAGAGGCTACAATTTCTTGGCACCCAGCTGACAATATCTAATCTCTGTTTCCTCCCTTGCATCCTTAATGACACCTTGGTCGATACTATAGCCAGTTGCATAGATTAAGCAGACTTGGGGAAAAAAAAAAACCAACCCAAACCCATCAGCATTGCATGCTCAGAAACCGTAATATGTTCTCTAATTAACAAGCTCCTCAAAATCTTTTCAATTGATATGTACATTAGGAATTGGGCAATGTAGCCTTCGACTCTCAGTTCCAGTATTCTGGGGACTTTTTTAAAGCTCTTTTACAAATGATATATGAATAATGTACTGCTGGGAGTGATACCTCAACACATCTTTTTAAAACCTCAGCTGTACTGCTTTAGTCTCCCTCCAAATGTTGAGCTGAGCAGATTCCAATTTTGAACTGAAAATAAAAGCGACTCTCAGCAGATTTTGGGAAGTCAGCTGTGTGCTGGGCTAGGAATCACATCCTGCTTCGAGCATAACAGCACCTTTCCCATTTTTGTTACCTTTTCTAAACCCCTTGCTTTAACAGCAGGTGATATATATAAAAAAATGTGAATAATGATTCTAGTAGTTTTAACCCTTTCTGAAGTTACTGTATTTATCAAACCCAACAAACTCTGAATCAGTAGAAGAGATGTCAAGCAGACAATTCGATTTCAAGAGCACAGTGGGCATGTTCATCTTGCCCAATGATGCACATTCCCCATATTGCTGAGCTACTGCTGACTACAAGGTTCAGATGCCTTCTCATATTGACTTCTTAGCTCAGGTATAATACTCACTGAAATTTAGGATTAATTTGTCAGTTTAATACAGATGATGAACATGTTCATATCACAGAGACTTGACCTTAAATCTAGTGGTGCAATGTAATTTTAGCTTTCTGACCTCCCTTTGCATAAGCACCTGGCAGAACAGCAGCACAAGCAGGAGAGCTGAAAAAGGGCAATTAGATCAAGTTCAAATTTGCTGTTTGAATATTCCATTTTCGTGACAAGGCACCAATCTGCATGTACCTTACAATAATAAATCACATTTAGTTTTTGTTGGCCAGCATGTCTATGTTGGAACAGGCTCCAAAATTAGAGTGGTTTTTCCTTTCACCTTGTTGATCTAAACAGCTTTTCTTTTACTTGATGATTTTTCTTTATGGGATTAATATCCAGCTCATGTACAATACCTTGTAAGTGGTTGCAAAGGAAAGGAAGAAAGTAAATACCAAATTAACTGACACTAAGTGCAGTGATATTTTATCAGTGTTAGACATCAAATAACATTTTATAGATGGTGGTTTGGAAAAGCCGCAGACTGGCAGTACTCTAGGGAACCATAGAGAGTCAAAGGAAAGTCACAGGAATTATTTTTTTCCTGAGCTAATTCCCTAAAATCAAATCTGTTCTTTTCCTCAAAAAAAAACAAAACAAAAAAACTTAGAATCAAAGACAAATTTTAGGCCATACAGGTTACCAGTGGGTCAGGATTTCCCCACAGTTTTCTTGCATTTACACTAAAGATTTTCACATAAGCTCATCTTTACCTACATTTAAAAGATAATTACGCATACTGGGTTGAGGACTTGCTGGAGTATCTGGTATCATCCAAGCTGAGAGATCTTCTCACCCTGCAGAATTGGGGTTGTGCTGCCAAGGGTTGAGAGTTGGGTGGAGACATTTCACACCATCGTCCTGTTTATAAATTCTACTTTGGATTTGGCAGCTACTGATTCTGACATTTGTTCTTACCATAAAATAAGCAGGAACAGCGGGAAGAGCTGAATACTTATCAGTGCCACCAAGCGATGAGCACTTCATGACAATATAGCTTAGTGCTGCCTGACAGAAGTTGCACTTAAAAATACTACAGTGCCATACCAAAGCCAGACAAATTTAGTTATTCACAAAGATTGCCAAAACCAGAAATTAATGCTAAAGAAACATCTATCTCACCCCCTTGCAGATGGAGACAGCTTCTTTGGACAGTGATTTTGGATAGGAAACATTATGCTCCATTATGGACTGGAAAAGTTCATCTTCATCTTCTCCATCAAATGGAGGCTGTTGAGAATAAATCACAGGTAAGTTACTTACTGCATTGTATTCATTTTATTTTTTTAATCCTCCACTTTTTATGAAGTATGGCCACACTGAGTCAGGGCAAAGGTGCAACCAGCCCATCAACCTGCCTCCAGTCAACCACAGATGCCCAAAGAGGTCAGTATACAGCAGTGGTCCCTGCTCAGGAATACACACGAATCTCCCAGCCATCTGCAGCTGGGGAATCTTCTGACCCAGAAGTTTAGTGTTTATCATTCTCAGGTAGAAATCGAGAAGAACAGTTAATTTCTGCCCCCAGCATGGCAGCCAGGTTAATGAAATGTGTGCAGGATTATCTTTGTGATCATCTTTAATCAATTTTTAAAGCTACTGTGCACCAGACAGCCAAAACACTTTAAAGGGTGAAGTTTGGAGACTGAAACTTTCAATTACCTTGTGCTAAGTTATATCTATTCCTCACTTAATTCCAGTTAAAATCCAGTTTGTTTTATAAGACATGGCTGTAGACTCTGCTTCTGTGAAGGGGAGACTACCACAAGAAAGGTCTGCAATTTATTTTTAAATAGAAGTGATGAGGAAAGTGCTTGTGGGTGAGTCCCCAGGATACAGGCTCTGTGCAAGACTCAGCTAATGGTAAATCTCATTTTCTCAAAAGCATTCAGATGCCTAATATTTGCAATGCAGACTGTAAATGTTAACAACTGCAATTGCTACACCTTAAAAACTTTTAAAATGTCTGGAATTTAGTAGAGAAACTATTAAAGGCATTTGTTAAAAATGTATGGTTTAAGCTTAGGAAATGCATACCTTTAGCTAACACTCATTGAAAGCCAATCGCACAAATCTTTTCCAACTCAAGACTAATAGAATTCCTGAACGTTGGTATTTGTTATTTGCCATTTAATGCAATATAGTGTTGCTTTTCTACCTGAGTGACTCAGAGAGCAGTGTCTCATTAACTGTGCAGAATAAGGGGTCTGTAACTGAGCACATTTCAAGTGGCGAGACCCACACTTTACCCCAGGACACACAATACAGGAACTGTATTCTTGGGACTTAACTGCACTGCAGAGCATATACACACTCTTATTATGTCTCCCTGTGGTTCCAAACTACTAAATGATATTTCTTCCATTTGACATGCATTTTCCTGCTCAAGTGTCTCCCATTCAATTTTGAAGATGGCTATTTATAACATTATTACAGTACAAAGAAGCCGTATTCAAAGGCAGTGCTTGATTGTGTGGGTGCAATATAAAGAGCTTAAAGACTAAATACATTCGCAGTGGAGTCAGTCAAGAGTACAAGGAGATAATATCAGTATGAAAGGCCACAGTTTTGTACCTTAAGGGTCTAAAAACACTAGGAAGCCTTGAAACAGAGTAGGGTGTGAGAGGCAGGAGGTGGTGACAGCGAGCATGGGTGTGTCATGCATCAACTCTTACCTGGCCAGCTAACATCTCATAGAGCAGCACTCCGTACGCCCACCAATCCACAGACTTCCCATAGGGCTGGTAAGCAATAATCTGTATAATCACCAAAAAAAAAAAAAGAAAATAACAAAGAAAAAAACCCCCTATGTTAACTGTCACCTTGTCTTGTGACATATTAGATAAACAGTGAGATAAAGAGACAAACATATTTCCCTGAAAAAGCCCAGAAGCCAATCATGTCATCCTCACTCTAGCTAATCACTGGTTTCAGTGGGAGTTGGATTGTTTTGCAAATGTTAGTCTAAACCCACCCACGTTTTCTGGTACTCCAGTAACTTGGGAAACGTGGCTCTTAGGAGACCTTGGGATGTGCATTTGAAGGCAGAGGAGGAAGAACAGCAGCACAATGTAGGAGACAAGGAAAAAATGTTATTAATCCATTTGTGTCAAAGCCTGAAATAATGAGACTCACTTAACTTACAGCTTAACAATAATTAAGCCTTTCTTTTCTTTTCAATATTTATATTTTTTGTTCTGCTATAAAGGGAATCAAGATTTAAGAAAAGAGTAAAACCCTGAAAAGCTCAGTTACATTTTCCCAAATTGCATGATTAAGATACTCTTAGTATGAAGCTAGATACCAGCTACACCAAAAAGAAAAGGGTTTCTATTGTTCAGCCTAATGGAAATGTCAAGTATTTTGCATGCTCTGGGTTCACATCTGACTCACACAGAAGCACAAATTGAGTTCTGACACAACAAAAGGGTGCAAGTGCCAACAGCACGCAGGTCCCCTCATCCGTAATTTTCTTTAATTGAGGCCTCTTCAGTGATCAGTGTTAATTTACTGAAGAGATGTGTTTGGGCATGCTATAGAGGAGTTTTGAGGTGCAGATATTCTCTCAGATCTCCTTCTAAATTACTGTGAAGGGATATTGTGAATTGTGAAGGGATGCAGAACATCCTGGCCATTGTCCATCAGAGCCTCCAACCTAACGCCACCGCTCCACTAGAAGTGGAGAACTGAGGCACTCATTACTCCAGGTGGGCTTGCATTTATTTTCCTGTTTGCATGTGGTTTTATTCTTTGTGAAACAAATTGCTAAGACAAGTAGACATCATATATCTTAGATTTTTTCAGTTGTCTGAAAGAGAAGCTGAACCAGTAAGTTTTGTAGTTTCTCAGGAAAAAGAGTGAGTCACCAGTTCAATCAAGCAGGACTGCCTGGCTACTAAATAAAATTATAGTCTCTATGTGAATGTATGTTTTTCGCTGAGATAAGGGCAGCACATGAATTAAAAATCATTGCAATGTTTCTAAGCAAAGGATTTCAAAATCAATCGCACTTTGAAAGATATTACAGAACCAGAGGTAATAACAAGGTTCTCAGCTGGAAGGTCGGACATAAAGGCAACCTTTATTAGTTGTCTTTTAGCAGTAATATGGGCTTTAAAATATATATTTGGGACATCCATTTCGTGTTATAGTGGTTGACGTATTTGATTACTCCCTTTAATTTCTATCACCAGTAAGTTCTCAGAGGTCCACTGGAATCAATGTTGCCTCTTGAAAGACCAAACACTTTCAAAATTTTATCCAGAAAAAATACTGTCTGTTACACACAGAAAATGATAAAATATTTCATCTTCAGCCCTTCTCTGGCAATCTGTCCTTGCCTTATGGAAACAAATATTTTATAAATAAAAAAAGGGATATTTTTCAGAAGGTCATTAATTTATAAAAGTTGCAAATGCAATGAAACCACTTTTTTCATTGAACCTAACGCAAGGTAGGAAAAGGTGGTACTGTTGATGTCTGTTGCTGTACACTGGAAGCTATCTTTATCTTTAACTGGAAGTTATCTTTAATCCTAACTAAGTACAACCAATTTGAATCATCAGCTTAATCCTGGGAAGGATATGATACAAGAGAAACACAGAAAATCAATCTGCCACGTTCATTCACCAACCTGCGTGTCAACCACGGAAACCGGTGGTAATACTCAGAATATTGGGAGTTATTCACAGCATTAATTGGAAAATGTAAACGAGAGGAAAGAAAGCTCACTTCAAGGAAGGAATTACATGTGGGAGGAAGCAGATGAGTTTTCAATATACAGTCAAACATGCATTGGTACAAAGTCAGCAAGTTTTAAATGTTGTATTTTCAGTAGTTCCCTCCTCCTCATCCAGAAATCAACATATATTACCCACCAGCTGCTGCACTCAAAGCCATCACTGTCTGCCTTGCAGCAGCTGTCAAAATAATCCTATCTGCATGTACAAATTCTGATGTTTTTCAGAACAAACAGGGGTATATTTACACCACTTCCCATCTCACAGCAGCGTGCAGAGCAGAGCCACAGAGCAGTGAGGGAGTTCATGTGCCTGGGAATGAAGACCTGCACCCTCCTCCAGCTATGATCTCTGCTTTCTACTGGTCAGGGAGGAGTGGAAAGTTGACAGGACCCTTCCTTTCCCCTCCTTCTCCATCTCTAATTTAAATGATTGCCTTTTTCTCTCCTTTTGCATTTCAAATGTCCCATTTTACCTATTTGCTACCATATTTTAAGAGTTCTGCCTTTTCAGGTTCCATGAACTTGAGAGCTCAGGAAGAGCTCAGAAGAAATTTCTCTCATCAAGCCAAGCTGGCAGAGGAAAGTTGATTGCTTTTTTTTCTTTCCTTTCTTTCTCCAAGGAAGGCACAGTTAAGAGCAGGGCACAGAGATTAATACTAGCAATTTGTAGGAATGTTTAGATCATTGGAGCTTGCAGCTGGTAGCCAGTTGGGATGAAATGATTATATCCCAGAGGCAAGAGACAGTCTTTTATGAACACATCTTATGTCTACTGGAAAAGTTAAAACTCAGTTATTAAAAGAAATAAATAATACTAGCACAAGAAACAGTCAAATGTACACTTTCCAAACTTTTGTGATATCTATTAGCGTCCCATAGTCTTGGCCAATGCAAGGTTAGAACTGAAGGTTTTGAGGCTATTAGGAAGAGAAGGAGGAGAAGGAAAATGGGGTTTCTAACTTAAATTCTTCTGAAATTCAGTCAGTGCTCTAGCTGCTGCACAGATGCTGATGGTGGGGTTCAGGACTGCACCACAGGCAGTGGGTTGTGCTGGCAAAATCCGTTCCCACTAATCCTCTTGACATCCATCTCCTTCTGTCTCCCTTGACTGGTCCAGGAAATACCAAGTATTGACTGATTTCACAGCTATTTTACCATTCTGACCACAAAGATTTAAGTTCAGCACAACCATAAATATTCTTTACTAAACAACCACTTTCTGCCTGACAGAGATGGTCAAACCTGGGGTTCTACCAGTTTAACCTCTGCACGTTTCTCAAATTGCAGAGGATAAAAAAATTAATGTTAGTTTCAGTGCATAATACACCTAAGTAAGAGCAAATGCTAACTTCCCCAATCATTAGAAAAGGAAAGCATTATCACCAAAGCATGCAAGTCCACTTTGCTGAATGCAGCACCATATTCCCCTGCTTTTCTGTCTGGAGATCATACATGTGAAGCCATCTGAGATGTTCCTGTATGGTCTTTCCAGCCGTGTTATCTCTGAACTATGGCTGTGGGCAGTTCATGGAGAGGCAGCGTGGGCTCCTTCAGACCCCACTAGAGTCACAACATTATTTCCCAAATACTGATGAAAAGAGCTAATTCTCTGTGTTTGAGTGAAACACACTCACAGGACTACTCTACTCCAGATACCTGCAACAGTTGATTTAGATTTAGCTCATTTATCTCCACCCAGCAGGGAATGGTACCATGCAAACACATTCTCATTAGAATCTATTACAAATTTATAATTTTTAGCCCATGGAAACATGCTGAAACGCTCCTGCAAGCAAAACATGAACCTTACTTTGAAGTTTACTACAGACCTAGTTAGCAATTTGTCAGTCACAATAATGTCTTCAGAAAGGAAAGAAAACCAGTCAACCAAAAAAAAAAAAGTAAATCTGTCTGTAAGATAATAGAAAGACTAATTTCCTCCCAGTTACTGAATGTTTTGGTAAAAGGTTTCTTTCTTTATATGAAACTTCCAAATAAAGTAAAATAAATAATTTCAACACTGACCCATATTGAGCATTTTGGCACTGACAACATGTTCTTTGGTATTAACTGGCACAAGACTATTGCCACAGAAAGGACACCTTTTAATTTGTAACATTGGCTTAATTTATGTTTTGGCAGTAGAAAATGAAATACTGCTCTGGTTGTTCTGATTGCTGCAAGCAACAGCAATCTGTGAAAAAACAAGGTTTTATAATACACAATATTTCACTCTGAAAAGCATGAATTAGCAACCAGAATAAAACAAACTATTTTTAATTCCAATTTCACCAAGATGACAAAATTCACCTTAGACAGTAATTTACTTGTTCATGTATAAATCTCCCATATTCCAACAAACATTCAATTACAGCCAAAAATGTTCCAGCCAGAGCTGCCTCTTGCCCAGCACTCAGGGAAACACTGAGTATCTTGGATCAGGATACAGCCTCTCACACTGAATTTGCAGCCAAGCAAATCAAGACTCTTGAAAGCTCAGTATGCACAAATACCAGATTTTAATATTCATATATTTGAATCATTTCCAAATCACCACATGTGCTTGTTTTTAACGTTTTATACCTAAACTATTGAAATACAAATCATATCCAGCCTAAAAATCTTAACTCTAAGCTTGTATTTATCACAGTGCTTTAAAGTAGAACTGTGTTTCTCATGGACAAAATTTAATTTTAGAGATGCAGCGGTAAGGTTTGTGTTAAATGTGATTTTCAGTGGCTTGAATGCAGCACTGGTATCACTAAGCCACAGAAAACTCACCTCAAATTATGGATTTCCTACATTAACTCCATTCAAGCCCTGATCTCAGAGCTTTGTTCAGGCTTTCAATGACCAGAGCTTTCCTGAGATCAAGAGCAGTAACTCATGACACCTGTGTGCCACTTGTAAGACATGGTCTGGAAAAGACTAAAGTAGTTTCGTAAGGAGGTCAGCAAAAAACTTCAAGACCTCATGAGTCCCTTCCCAAAAATCAATGAGTGGGTTGTGATTTCCTGAAAATGCCAAAAAATCCTTTAAATATATGTATTTTGTCAGCTCTGTGAACTTATGGAGAAATACATTAAAGAAGCTATGTTGCTCCCAATAAAATGTTTGCTGACCTCATCAACAACCTCAATAATGCCCATTAACTCTCTATGACTTCACAAACTGAAGGACAAAGTTTAGTATAATAACATTTCCAGGCTACAAATTTAAAATCACAAGGTGGTGATTCAGCTTCTTTAGTCTTTTGCTAGTATAAACAAAATCTGAAGCACTGATCTCATTAAAAGTTAGGTTTTTAATCAATGGGATGTTTTTTAAAATAGCAAAGTCTTGATGATTAATTCACAAGGTTATTCAATATACCTGCTGAAATATAAATGGTACCATCCACAGAGCAGCCAGAGTTACAGTTATCAAAACCTGGGGGTGTGAGATGTGCGCAGTGATAATTTTCATTTCAGAGACTAAGAGGTTCTTGAAATGGTAGATATTTACCTCTGGTGCAATGTAGTCTGGAGTGCCACAGAAGGTCCTGGTTGTTACTCCATCTAACATATGTTCTTTGCACATTCCAAAATCAGCAATTTTAATGTGGCCTTCTGAATCCAACATCACATTATCTAATTTCAGATCTCTATGGAGAATCACAGTAATTTAATGTTAATGTTCAGGATCAACTAAGGCTAACTTAACTACTTCTGAGTCTAGGTGAGGAATACATGTAGCTGTTTAGGGGGTGGAGGGGACAGAGCTGCACATGCACTGCAGTCTACAGTCTGGATGGAGCATGAGAACGACCATAAGCCCTGAAACTGGACAATTCATGAAGAGATACCTGTATATGACCACGAGCACACTCACACTATGATTTCTGAAGGTGTAAAACTATTAAACATCACACAGGAATGCATAAGATCATGTTTTGCATTTTGAAGAGTTTTCAGTTGAGTTGGGTAGAGCACAGAGATTGGAGAAGCTCAGGTAAAGCAGTGGTTTGGGTTTACAGGGCACCAGCACTACCGCAACAAACAGAACACTACCATGATTGCTTTTTATAAAATGTTTTAAAAATACACTGAAACATGAAAGAAACTGATCCTTTCCGGGTTTTAAAAACAGTTCAGAAATTACTTATGTCAGATTATACTCACCTATAAATAATCCCTCTGTTATGGAGAAAGAATAACCCAACTGAGATCTCAGCTGCATAGAACCTGTATGAAAAAAAACCCAACAAACCAACAGATTTCTTACTGCCTCATTTCTGACAAAACATTTTGGAAATGCATCATGGTAAAGGATGATAGTATAATAGCATATAAAGTATGTAAGACAGTGTGTATATACATAATAAAGTATAAAAATATTTATTACAGGTAGATGACATAAAAGACACCTTACTTCAATTTGACATTAACAGATACATTTTGAGTATTTGGTGATAAAATAATGCAGAATTAAAAAAGAAAATAATGAAAATATCTCTCTAGACCACAAAGAATGGTGCAGCTGGAGCTCAGCATTTTACTGCACTGATCTGACTCTGTTTGCAAAGGTCATTATCTCTAATCATACATCAATGCTGAATTTGGGATGTAGCTCAATTTACATTGCAATTCATATGACATGAAATAATTTGCAGAAATAGTATTCCTTGATACAGGCTGTTAATGGATTAATTACATAAAGCTAATTTAAATGATTACCATATAAAATATAATTGCTGAATGTAGTTAAAGGATATATAATATTGATGGATGTTTGAAGGCAGTTGCTATGGAACCGTGCAAATTATATGCAAGAGGATTATTTAAAGATTAGATTAATTTTTAGGCTAGCATAAGGGATAGGAAAGCTTAGCTCTGAAACACTTGATCAGAGGTGTTTGTGAAGGCATGTGCTGGAGGATGCTCCACAGGCGTAAGCTGTCATAAACCACCATCGTTTGCAACGGGTGTTGTCAAGGATGATGTGACACCACCTAGCTTTTATTTAGCAAGTTGTTGAAATTTTGTTCTATATCTCAAATACTTATATTTAGAAGGCCTCTTATTTAAACAAGCCCTGATGATTTAAATTGAAATGCGAAATTACTTGAGCTGAATTCTTAAAAACAGTTGGTCACACTTGATTTTAAAGTTTCAGTGGCAAACGATTTATGAAACACTAATAACTGACGATGAGATGTTAATAAGCATGAATAAAATGATACTGATGGATCTATTCACATTTGAACATGCTACAGATCATTATCAGTTGCTCACTGATATGCCAGATGTACAATGACCTAAAAGGCATCACGAATATAAACAACTTCTAATCATTTATAAACTTCTCACAAATAAAACTTCTATAAAAAAGTAGGATCATAGAAATTCTTATAAGCTATACATTGAATTTATCTTGTACAAACTATAATTTATATCGCAGTACTGATTCTATTTGTATTGCCTTTCCCTATAACATTGATTCAGACTGAAATGTTCTACTTTTCAAAGCCACACCAGAATACCAAGTAACTTCTTTAATTTCCTCTTGCCTTGTTTAAATTCTTGTCACTTTTAAAGTAGGCATTGCATGCCTTTGTCGTGCTGTAATTTTGAATAAAAAGGCATAGCTACCTTTAGTCTATGTGTGCAAACAACATTTTTAACATAAACATCAGCTTGTGGGTCTTAAAAAACAAAATCAAAAAAGACCAGCCTAGCCTTCATACTGAACCTGGGAAGAAGAAGAAACCTAATCATCTTACAGTGTAAAATTAAGATAATGACATGATTTAAATATATAAACATGAACACTCACACTGCTTGTGGCTCCTTAAATTTTCCTACTTGCTGAATGTGATACATGAGATCACCACCATTCACATACTCCATAACAAAATACAGACGGTCCTAGGATAAAGTATTAAAGACGCACGTAAACACATCAGAGAAAATATTAGATACACATTGAGCAGTAAAAAAGTCACTAATATGTTACCGTAAAGCTTTTAAGATTATTAGGACTGGTTGTACATTCTGGCAAAATTGATAGATCAGGAAATGGAAGTGGAATGTTTTGTAAAACCTGCAAGAATAAATGACTGGCGAGATCTGTCTAGATTTGCCAATTTTAGTGAGGCATTTTTATATGTTATTTGTCTACAATGATTCCCATAATTATTGACATATAGTCCTGTGTGAAAAATCTGTCTCTCTAAAAATAAATGTAAAAAAAAATACACTAAAGATGGTGGAAAATTTTTGCTTTGAGGCCATTTCTAATCCTTCCTAATAAGTTTTCCTTTGGAAGACAGGAGGCATTAAAAATACATTTTTCTTATTAAAAAGAGGCAAGAAGAAAAGTAATTGTAGAGTTTACAAAAGTACCTGGAACCTTTACAAGTGACACAAAATTAATTTCTCACAGGCACATATTTCAGCTAGAGGAAGATGGCAATAAGCTCTTTTGGACGCAGATTCTTCTCGCACAGTGATGACTTTTCAAGGCCCTACGCTGGTATCTCAAATCAAACATGACCATGACATATTTGAGTGCACTTAAGTAGTATTTTCCCACCCAGTGACCTTCAGACAACAAGACTTAAAACAGAAGGTCTGTCCTCTAGTTTTCAGAGGACTAAAACTGAGCTCTTCCAAGTGATTTCAGTAAGAATACATTGTTTACACTCTACAAATGTCTTTGGTTTAGGGTGGATGATTTTGGCCACCCAACATTAAAAATTCTTGTCGATAACATTCTGGCAAGCTTACTACCTGCAGTTATAACACGATCCAGACAGCATATAAGATGCATTAGTAGTGTTCCTCCCAATTATGGAAGATGTATTTTTGGCTTCCTCTGATTTTCATTTAGTTATTTTGGACAGAATCATTATCCTGAAGTATTTGTAGAAAAGTTCTGATCCAATATTCTGATAGGAAAGAGACTCATTACTAAGATGAATCTCTTTCCTTCAGCATTGACTGAAAGTCTCCAATCATCCAGTAACTATGATTTCAGAACATCAAAATAAATTTAAGAACTTATTTCCTAAACTGGGTCCAACAGACAAGTCAGGAGCAAAATGTTTAATTGGACAGATTGGATTTATAAAATTCAGATATTTGTATGAATTGTCTTATTATAAAATCCATGGGAATAGAAACCTGCATTTAAAAGTTCTAACCAAAACTTATCAATTTTTCCTATGGTCACACAGTTTATGCCTTTTCTTCTTCATAGACAATTTATCATTTTTATAGCTACCATTAATCCTCCAAAATATTTAATAGCACCAAGTGAAAACTACTCAACACTTTGGAAAACATGAAGTAAATTAGGTAAAGGTGTTAATGACTTATCTAGGCCTTTATGTAGCTCCATTGCTCTTGTACATCTTAAAAAAAAAATAATTACACTGTAAATACTAAAACCCTCATTTTTTTCCCCTGTTCCCCTTAGCCAGAAAACACTAGACATTAGTACTTTTAAGATTTTACATTTAAAATATAGTTACTCCAAACAAAGATAAGATTGAACAAAGTGGCTTTTCATTTGCTGATGGTACTTAAGCTTTTTGGTTACTAATGAAGTTATATAAAGAATCAGAGAAGTCTATCTCTCACTAGGACTTCTCATCTTATTACAACAGTCTTCATATTATAAGTAGAGACAGGAAAAAATATTTTAGAAAGTGAGAATTATCAAGTGCAATAGTTCCCAGATTCCCGTTTTACTGTGATTAATTAAGTCTGCAAATGCCTCTAACAACACAGACAATTACGCTATGAAATGGTGACGGGATGACGTGGCTTGTTTGTGGAATGTTGCCATGTTGGTTATTTGTTTTTAGATTTAAAACCATCAATGATGTAAGAGGTAAAAGATATGGAATAGTCACGTGGAAAAACAACGTATGTCCTTTCATTACTCCATTAAGTGACAAGCCAGCCCTGGGACACTAGTTCAAGGCCATTATCATAAGATGGCTATGAGGTGGGACAAGAAGAGCCTTGATTTCTTGTGGATAAAGACCTCTGCCCAGCTTGGGACACTTGGAGCCAGTTCACTAGTGTCAGGGTGTATCTATGCCCATTCTGAAAACCAAAAGCACACTGAGTACCAACTGTCCACCAAGCAGCTTTCCGTGTCACCCTGCAGACCAGTATGGTGCCGCTGGATCTCAGATCCATCCAGCATTCTGTCTCTGGGAGATGTTTTGCAATGTGATGGGGAAATACCCACTTCACATATTTATAAGGAAGGAAGAAAAAAAAAAAGCTTTCCTCTGTGTCAAGGGTGTCAGAAAACCGAATTAAATCCATCAACATTGATTCATGACTAATCAGCTCACGATATAATAACAGCCATTAAGACTTTTCAAGTACTATCCTCAGATCCTTAAAAGTATTTAGGATCATTTAGGAATCTAGGCTTAAGGCTCTGACTTAGCAAAGCACACATTATTAAATTTATCAATTGTCACACTGGTCTGCTTGAATTACTGTATGAAGAAAAATCTTTAAACCTAGGTTTTATGTTTAAAATACAGGGGGTAATTACATGGGGTACCTCGTACTTCAGAATTTTGCATGTGCAGAAACTCTGATAAATAGTGTGGATAATAATAAATGTTATTAAGCTGATAAAATCCATGATCATGTAGTATGGAAAACATCAGGGTGGGAAGAAAGACAGAGATCACGTACAACTGTTTGGAAACAAGAGTGAAGCTGCGTCAGGAACGGTGGTTTATCTTGCAATGCCAGGACTCGTTTTTCAACCATCGTACATTCCACATCATCATCCTGAATCACCACATCTTTTTTCAGGATTTTGATTGCATAGAGCTCCTCTGTCCCCTTCCTGTCTGCCAGCATCACCTGCACAAATAGAAACAACAGCGTGAAAATCTTCCTACCTGCCAAGGAGAGAAGGTGACTCACATGCCCAAAGATTTGTATAGATGGCAATCCAGCTTTTCCTTTTATTGGTATAGACTAACTTGATCAAAACTCCAAAAATATCATCATTACTCACCCACTGCAATAAGCTGTACCAGTTATTTCAGACAAAGCCTGGGCCAAAACCCTCTGGTTAATCGCAGGCACGTTGCCAAAGGGCTGATAAAATGTTAAGTGCTAGGGGACTTCTTCAGTAAAGGGCACTTTATCACACAAGTGGTTGTTCAGACAGACAGCAAAATAGCAGTCCTTTTTTTTTCCACTAATAGATTTCAAATATATATATATATATATATACACACTATTCCTGTTTTCTTCCCCCAATATTCAGCCTTACCAATGTTGGTGACTTCCAGAACTGGCAGAGTGACCTAGGTAGTAAAGCCAGAAAAGTAGACTTAATTTCCTTGAAACTGCCAATAAGTGAGGATCTAAAGGTCAGCAACTGTTTCTTACATCCTGCTCAACAGTTTGAGTTTTTAATTTTATTTTTTTCAAGAAAACTGCCAATCATGACTGAAGCCTGCTAGTCCTTTAGGAATGACCCTACTCCACGTTAAGAAACCCTCAAAATGCACATTATTTTGATACTGTTCCTCAAGAAAAGCAAAACAAAACAAAACAAAGAACGCATGTGGAATAGCTATCAAGAATTCCTACCTTCCCAAAGCTGCCCTTTCCAAGAACCATGAGAAAGTTGAAATCTGTCAGCTTCACCCTGTCCAGGTTGTTGGATGGCACACTTGAGTTCTTGTCTTCTGTTGGAGTAATGACTTTGTTACCAGCTGGCCCAAGTTTGGCTTTCTGAAGAACATACACACACATACACACACACAAAAACAGGGAAGTAAGAAGAGTAGCCCATTTTCTTGGCAGAACCAATCACTGAGTGAAGATTAGAATTGGAGATGATCATATCTGAGGTGGCATTCCCAGGAGAAAGGCTGCATAACAGAATTTGCACAGACACAACTTCAAAGACTCATTCCAACAATACTTTTGATGTTATTGAGTCAATTAAAGAGGAAAACTGTGTTCATGTATAACCAGATGAAAGCAGATATACTTATCTGGTTAGAAGAGCAAAACTAAAGCAAAAACCAAAGCCAAATTTAAAAAAAAAAAAATCACTTATTCTCATGCCAAAAGCAGGCTTATCTGGTGGTTTTGTTTTCAAATATGAAAAATGCTTTTCAAAAGTATCATGCTATAATCTACACAGGGTATTTTAGGATATAAACAGTCTCTTTAATACATTCTCTTTTTAAAATTTAATTCTTAAAGTCACTGCATAGCAAGAGTTAGGAAATCTTTGACATGCATTAAGAAAAATAACCTACATTTAAAAAAAACACAACATATGAGAATTAATGCAGATGAGCATGGCCACTTTCAAACTAGCAATACAATCAACTTTGATTTGCAATCAAGTGTTGATCCGGAAAAGGGAGGAAGGGAAATATTACATACAAAGGCTCTGCCTTGGCAAGACAATCTGCTTTGAAGAAGGTTGCAACAGTCTCAGTATTTCATATGAGATACCATGTAATTGCTCAAGTAAGTTGCATTTCAAATCTCAAAGTTAATAGAAGAGAAAAAAGTAAGACTCACCAAAAGATAATGCAGGTTACAACACAATATCCCTCTTTTTCTCTAAATAATCCCATATACCAGCAGAAGAAAAGCCAAAAATGTTTAACAATACTTTGGGATTTGGGGATATAAATGCTTTCCCCTCATCTATCGACTGTGTTGGTCTGGTAAATAACCTCGAATACAGTTAATTTACTTTGTCCCATTGACATATGGTTCACATTTAAGGATTACTATTTTTCTCTCTGCACTGCAGAAGGACAGTATTTGCATATTATCACTGTTTTACAGGTAAAGAAAATTCTAGAAATTAAAGTCCCACAATAAATCACCTTAAAAGCCTGGCCAGGCATATGCTTTTGGTAGCCTCACTGGAAATTGGAAGACACAAACTTTCCTCTCCTCAGACAAGTTTAAAAACATACGATTGGAAGGGACAACTCAGTTCGTAGACTCCAGCCCTCTACTACTGCAGGCAGTCACGTCAAGTAATCCTCGGATAAAATAACCACACGTCACTTGAAAAGCATATTCAGATTGGAAGACTCTTCCTTCAACTTTATAAATGCAGCAACTGCCCCAGGGATGTAAATGTTGGCAGTTCTCTTCTTTTAAATTTCATAATTATTAGTATTCTATTGTAATACAGCTTAAAATGTGGAATTTATTCCACCACTTTATTACTTGCTTGTATGAAAGCAGCGCTTGGAGAGGCTAATAAGGATCATGTGCTGTGCAAATGTTTAGAAAGAGCCAGTCCTGGGCGTCAGCTTAATCCCTGATTCTGTAAGGGACGGTTCCTGGGACAAATCCAGTGTCTGTGATGGAGCTCTTTGTCGGGACAAAGCTCCTTCCAAGGCCACAACAGAAGACTGAGTCATTGGTAAAACAAGTAAATAAGAAAAATCCTAATATCCTTTATTTGTACAAGATGAAGATGTGGTTTAAAGGAGTAGTTCACTGGCTGTGTCTTTGTGATGCTCTCGCATATGAGATCTCAGATAAAAGATCCTGCTCTTCTGATATGAGAAGCAATTTCAATATCCATCTTTCCACCCAGTAAGGGAGATCCACATCAGGCACTGAATGGAAAACACTAGTTTTATTTCTTATATTTTAAAATCACCGGGTGGATTGTTGGCAGCCTGTTTGAAAAACTTACCATTTGAAACAACAAATGTAATTTGTTCCGAGGCAGTTTGTTTCTTCGGGTACAAAGCTGTCGTTCAGGCAGGGAGTGCTTTCTGCAGCGCTGCAATCCCAGGCTCAGGGGTGCCCAACACTTTTTCCAAAAGAAACTGAGCAGCAGATTGATCAGCAGGCTCCTGTGCCCTCTGCCGGCTCCCAAAGCGGAAAGCACCGCGCTCGCTCGGATCAAACGCATCCGAGATGAAATTGTCAGGATCTGAAGGCGGCATCTTAAAATAATATTAGAGAAACAAGCCAAGGCCTCTCTGCACACTCGCAAGAAAATGTTTACATTCAATGAACTGGAGACATGCTCCTCTACTTCCATTTTTTATCTTTTTTTTTTTTTTTAAATCAGATGTCGCTCTCAGTTTGAGAATTTCTTTTTCATATGGTATATTTTCATATTTTTAATGAGAATATCAGGTGCCTCCTGTTCGGTCCAGTGGGCGTCTGTGCCGTCTGCTCCAGGTAGATGCTCAGGCAGGTGGGAGCTTATCAGACCACACTTAGCTGTGAGTGATCACAGTCCTGGTTATCTGATCATTAGTTCCGAGTTATCTCAGTGCATTAGCCCAGACACTGGCACATGTAAACGGAGAACCCTGTTGTGAACTGTATGTAAGAAAACGTAGGAACATGGCACCCACAAAATGCTGGAGCATGACCAGGTTGACTCTATGAAAGCACATGGACCCAAAGTGGAATGGCCTAATGACCTTATTCAATTATTGTAACCTCGTCAAAGGTCCGTATTTCCCTTCAGCTTGGCCACTGACCTTTTGTTCATGAGCACGCCAAAAAGTTTGTCACATTTAGCATGTAAATTCCTTTTATTGCTTTCTGGCTTAAGGTCCTAGTGAAAATATAGTGGGAATTTCAATGCTCACAAACATTTACTAGGAGGGGAAAAAAAAAAAAGGAAACAATAATAATCCAAACCCAAACATTTCACAGATGATCCATTAAGAGCTTTCCCAGACACTACTGCAACATGTTTCAATTATGACTTAGCCTCAGGAGTATCATTTTGCCTTCTTCTCAATACTATTTAAAAAAAATTCCAGAGCTCCTGGAACAAAATTTTGCTATGGGCATGGAAATAAAATTAGATAAAAATGGTCAATTCATTATAGATGTTACTTGTGCCACCAAGTTTTTGATGGGACAGTAAGACATTTTTAGGAAAGAAACCCTGAAAGATCTAGTACTTATTAAATGTCTTTGAAAATTAGCTGCTGTGTATATTCCATGTTACTCAATTCATCCTGAAGTATGAACCTAAACCAAAACACCTCTTCTAAGCTTCATGGAAGTTTCTACACTCAGCAGAAATGTCACAACCCATCACTAATAATTGATGTTGATGGATTTAAGGCAAGTCTTTAACCTAGTCCTTTTATTACAGAACTTAACCCAGAATATAGGGCAAGACAAGTATTTCAGAAACTCAACTAATGATTTCTGGTTATGACTAAAGGATTAGGAAAATGTCTGCAAGTATCAAAATTGCTTTACATTGAACTACAGAAAATCTACAAAGTGAACTCATGTTGTGCCTTACTGCAAGCAATGGGTGAAGATACAGGGAAATGAGCATCTGCTTACAAGATTTAGGAAAGATTTGGAGAAAACACATCCAAAACATGCTGGGCTTAGTGTGCATGTGGAGATCTCATCCATCCATTTGCTGTGGCCATTTCTGCAGGGCTTCCAGCACCTGAGTGGGCCTTCATCTCACCCTCTGGTTCCATATTTAGTTGGCTGTGGCCATTGGAGTTGTTGAATGATGTTATATACAATGTGATGACTTGCAAACTTTCTTCACACACAGCAATGTTAATTTCTTGTTACGAAATAACTTGCTGAACAGATAGTTTGCTAGAAAAAACCACTTTTCCTCAGCTTTTTGAACACCTCAAACATGTGGGACGTCGTTTTTTTCACATAAAGAACAATTTATACATTTCAGATACTTCAGAGAGGGAACTACAAACTAAAGCTGCTGTTGAAATACAGTCAAGGAGATGAGCACAATAAAAATAAATATACTAGAGAACACATTACAGTACTGAAGCATTTTAATTTGCAAAAATGGAATGTAAAAGCACACACCATTATTTTCATCATCACCTCTGCATCCAGGATTGCCCATGCTGAATAGCATTTTACTGTTTATTAGAAGGGAAAAGAATCTGTTTGAGGCTTATGCTCTGTTAAGGCCAACTTCAGCACTAAAAATAGGACAAATGTTGGACAGAAGTGATTGCCAGAGCTCCTGGGAATGCTGTTTCAACAGTAGGACTAACCACAGAGGAATAAAGAGACCCACCATTTTTGACCCACTGCAGAGACAAAATGCCGTGCAACCAACACACTCGTCCAGATTCCTGGAACAAAACCAGTTTTGCAACTACAGAAGGGACATTAATTCAAATTATTCATAAAAGTTTATTGGAAAAGAGCAATGAGATTTTTTTCTCTTCCTAGCAGGACTGAAGCTGAAAAGAGCAAAATCCTACTTGAATCCACCTTTAATTTTTATGGATATTAAAATTTGCTGAAGTTAAAGATGGCATTCCAGGCACTGGATTCATTTTCAAATTACATTCACACTGCTCCGCTTAGTAACTTTGATAAAAACAAAATATTGTTACAACGAAGCCAACTTGCAGGAAACAAACCAGGAAAACTATGTTAAAGAGAAATTAGTCTGCGCTGGTAGCAGAAGAGTTAATCTTAAAAGAAAACAAGACATGCACATCATCTTACTTCCTCTGGTTTGGACGCACCTTATCTCGGCCAGTTCTTTTACCCTGAAACCACAGGTGAGACATACTTTATATATTCAGCCCAAACACATTTCTTCATGGAGTGTCAGAGAAGTTAGAGTGTGTTATACAGGACAGTCTCTTGGAATTTGGTATGTGCTCTTTGGAAAAGATATCTCAGGTTTTGCAGTAAAAATGTATTCAATGTATTTTTCATCTAAGTGTAACAATTGCTCTTTTCATTTGGTATGGAAAAAAAAAGTCTTCTCCAAGCCCTAACGAGGAGTGTGAAGCAAAGAAGAAAAAGAAGTGATTTAGGGAACAGTAATCCATTATTGCACTAAATTTTCAATGTAAATGTTCTCAGTTGAGTCTTTTCAAAACTTTCTGCTTTTTTTTACTGTGAAGACAACCTAATGGGACAAACCAAGAAATCTGAACATTGGCTCTTCTGTTCTTCAGTTGTTATCTACAGTTTAAAAATGTAAGGATTACAGAGCAAAAAGACTGAATCAGTTATTTTCCCCATTAGCCAATAAATAGAATTTGTGAAGAATTAAAAATCTAAAAAATCTACACAATTCACATTCCTGTCTTCAGTCTCACGATGTCAGTGCTTTGACACTTTGCATTGCTCACCACAGGGTTCCAAAACTGCCCCAACTTGCAGCCACACCCCACCACCCTCCCAGCACAGCTTCAGAAGAGAGAAACCCACATCATTTCCCATGAAAAAAAATACTCAAGCCAACGAAAAGCCTTGTGATGTGCAGTTCACTAGGGGATGTATTTCTCGGTTGTCAAGGCAACTCGCTCTTAGCAAGTTCACAGATACCCAGCGGGGAGATCTATCGGTAACAAGTTTTCAAGAGGAAAAAGTGATAAGTGATAAAAAAAAAATATATATTTAACAATAAGGCCGAATTCCCATCACACGTGTGGAGGTACAAGCACATACAGCATGCTGATGGCCACATTTCATCCATTACTTAGTGGTTCCACTGACACCTACTGGGAAAAGCAATGGAGAGGTTTGTTCCTGGCAGTTCAACCTCCTGGAGACTCAGAGCTCTGCTTCTCATTACACACCAGCATCCGCTCCCCTCCTCTATCACAGATCCCAGGTCCTGAGGCTTTTTTGTGATCCATGGAGCAAGAATGTCCTCTTGCCAGGATTCAATTTCTCTGCAAAACTCTAACAAAATCCCTGCTTCCCACACTGCAACAAATTCTCACCAGTCTTTTGCTAAAGTCCAACATGCTCTCCAAATGTCACTGGGTGATGGAACACACCATCTCATGCTAGCCCACCTTGATCCTAATGTTTCTGTTCCTAATTCTTAAATTAAACAGGTAACACTCTCCGTATCACTTAAACGGCAAAATGGGTGGTGAGAAGCGAGGAAAGGAAATTACTTAGTAATAATGTTCCTGTTTCATTATTAAAGCCCTGAAGGCTTTGGCTGCAAGTGTGAAATTAATGCCGCTCTATCTGTTGCTACCTGGACTCTACACAAGAAGCATCAGAGCAGCTCAGATCTCAGACAAACCATAGAAGATGTAACTGACAGAGCTGACAAAACTCATACTGAGAATGTAAAAAGGAGAAACTGAAATAATTTCTCCGAGTCTCAAGGAAGGACAAAAAGCCCTACTCAGGTTTCCAGTCATGAAAGCTCAGTGGGGATTTTGATCAACAGGTTGAGCCATTAGCAAGCCTTTAATACAGTAAATAAATCTGGGAAATTTCAAGTCAAAATCTGGAGGGAAAAAATCTCCCATTCACTGAAATGTTCTCCGTCATTGTGGCAGCTTGTTTCTTACATTACTGCATTTCCAGTTCCATGTAATTATAGATGCTATGAAGAACTATCAATTTCCCAGTTTATACAACTTCATTATCAGGATGCTGAGAATTTGAAAGAGAAGAGTCCATTTCTAAGCTCCAGCAAGACCTAATACTTCACCAGACTAAGTTTTAAGCTTAACACCATAACCTAATGCAAGCTTATAATTCATTAGCAGAGAGTTTTGTAGTCATGGAAACAACATAGAAAAGAGAAAGTTAATGCCTAAGCTTCGGGCGAGTTAGCAGCCCAGCAGCTCGAACTGGAGAGGAGACAGCACGAGCATTACAACTTGGTCCAGCCTGAGGTCATGTTCTTGCAGTTACAGAATCACTGAATCAGCTCGATTGGAAAAGAGCTATAAGATCATCAAGTCCAATCGTTAAACTAACCCTGGCAAGTCCCCTAAACCATGGCTAACTCATGTCTCTCAGCACTGTGTCTATGTAACATTTCAATCCCTCCAGGGATGGGGACTCCACCACTGCCCTGGGCAACCCCTTCCAATGCCTCAGAACCCTTTCAGCAAAGAAATTCTTCCTCACATCCCATCTCAACTGCCCTGGCCACAACTGGAGCCCATTGCCTCTTGTCCTGTCCCTTGGTCCTTGGTTGAACAGACCCACCCCCACCTCTCTCCACCCTCCTCCAAGGGACTTGGACAGAGCCAGAAGGTCTCCCCTCAGCCTCCTTTTCTCCAGGCTCAACACCCCCAGTTCCCTCAGCCACAAGGGAACTCAGCACACTTGTGCTCCAGACCCTTCCCCAGCTCCGTTCCCTTCTCTGGACACGCTCCAGCACCTCCATGTCCTTCTTGGAGTGAGGGGCCCAAAACTGAACCCAGGACTCGAGCTGCAGCCTCACCAGTGCCCAGTACTTGGGGAGGAAAACCTCCCTGGTCCAGAGTCAACGGAGGGAAGGACATTCCTTGGCCATTTTATCGGTT